AAGCTGTTGCTTCCTGATTTTCTAGCAAAAAAAAAAAAAAAAAAAAAGACTTAACATTCATCATCTACATATAAACTGTAAATATCTATTCTTATTTTTCCCTGAATGTGGTGCTAATGAAAGCAAGGACCAATCATCAAGGGTGAATTATTTAATACAATAATGTTTTAATAGCTAAGAAGAGACACAAATAGTGGAGACGCCTGTGGCTAATGGATTTCTCTGATAGGAGATAAAAGGCTGATTACACAGCAGAGCAAGTGAAGAACTGGTGCATTAATGACAATTTACAGGTCAGCTCACTTACAGGAGTGATTTAAAATGCACCATCTGTTTTCTAACTGTAGGTTGATAGCTATGATTCTACAGACAGCCAATGGCTCTTCGTCAAGAATTGTTACTTACTTGTCTCTCTGAGTCTAGTTATTTTTCCCCATAATATTTTACCAGCTGGACACCCAGATTCTTTCCAAGTGAAATAGCTTCTCTGAATGGATTGATAGCAATCAATCCCGCTTCCACTCGGCCTTTCTCTGCCAGTTTAGAGAATTTAAGCCCTAATGTCCTTAATTCACATCCACTGTGTGAATTGCATTAACTTGACTGTAATGCATCTGCTCTGGTACTAGTTCTGTACCATCCTTGAGAGAGCTGAGAAAATAGTCACCCAATAACAATCTGTATCCTGTGGTTCAAATCAGGAACCCCAGCTGAGAAAGGCAGCACCTATCAACCATTCTTACCAAGCTCCTCGCCCCACTTTTTTTCTCTTAATTTTCCTCCCTCTTCTTGCTCCTGTCTGCCCCTCCCCATCTCCATGCAGCCCCACCCCCACATCCTCACTTTCTCTCACAAAGGTGAAAAAGGGGAGCCCAGCTTTGCCTCCCACCCCCACCCTCCCCCCCATCAGTGCTCTGTACTGTCTGTGATGAGTAGGCAGCAAAGGGTAAGGATTAAGGCTGAGGGCTTTGGAGCTGCACTTCTGGGTTTAGATCCTGGCTCAGTTACTTTCTAGGCTCTGGTGACCTGTCTGTCCAAGTTATTTAACTGCTCTGTGCCACTGCTGCCTCATATGAAAATGGGGGTAATGATAACACCCACCTCAAGGGTTGCTGTGAGGATTCAGTTATCCACCAGGCATCCGGCACGTAAAGCAGTGCCTGGCACATAAAGGCACACAGTAAACATTGCCGGTGTAATCACAGGAGACAGTTGGGTGGGAGGCCGGGCTAAGGATCCCTTCTTGGGTCTGGGAACTAAGTAGGGCTTTGTAACGCCTGAATGCAGTTAGAAGGATGGAAAGAAAACATTGACAAGTTTTTCTACCCGTGCATTGTAGTCATTCACTAATTGACACACATTTGTTGAGCACCAACGATGTACTAGATTAGTGGTTCTCAAGGTGTGAACCCCAACTAGACAGCAGCATCTGGGACCTGGTTAGAAATGCAAATTATTACCACCCTCCTCCACTGCCGTCACCCTCCCAGGCATTCTGAATCAGAAACTTGGAGGGTGGGGCCAAGCAATCTATGTTTTAATAAGCACTCTAGGTGTTTCTGATGCGCTAAAGTTTGAGAACCACGGCCCTAGCTGCAGCACATAGTCACTCTGCTGGACACAGGGAATATAAACATGAATAAGAGGGTGTCCCGACCTTTAGGAGCACGCAGTCTCCTGAGAACAACCAAGGATTCTGAGAGGTACACGGGAAACACAGAGAACAGTGCTTCACACACAGGGCGTGGCCAATATAGCACTTGGGGAGGAAAGTTTGGAAAGAATTCTCAAAGAAGTAATGCTTGAACTGAGTCTTGGAAAAACACTAGAACGTTTCCAGTTATAAGTGGGAGAAATGACATTCCAGAGAAAGGAGTGATTACGTGTATATTTGTGATGGGCAGGCAGGCAGGCACACAGACTTCAACTTCTAAAAAGCAGCTCCTAGAGTGGAGGGGTTTTGTGTTTTGTCCACTGTTGTAATCCCAATGCCTAGAACATGCCCCTGGCTCACGGGAAGCACTCAGTAACTACTTGGATAATTGAACACAAAGATCCCGAATTCACACATATTAAATTTTTGTGAATCATTTCGCCTCAGCAAAGGATAGTAAACCAAACAAGCCAATCTAATGGGGAGTTTTCTGCTTTAAGGTACTACATATTCCAGCAAGAAATTAGCCAATGACTGGATCGTTTGTTTAATGTGCTGTATTTTGGCAGTAGGAGACATATCACCTCTAAATCTGCCAGGGTAGCTCAGTGAAGCCCATTTGCTTCCTACTTGCACTTGCACTTGCTTCCTACAAGCTTATTCTATACCTGCAGACTTTACCTGCAAATTATTGATGCTTTTTATAAATACATTGGTCTTTACAACAGAAGCCCCAACAGTATTTCCTCCTTAAAATATGAAGAACCAAATATCCCAGGCAGCATATTTCCTTCTGCTTTAGTTAAATCAATTCTGCATACAAAATGACTGGGTCTGGTACTTTCCTAGTCATGTTCTCATAAGCTGCCTTGTGCCAGATGCTTGCTGTTCTGTCTTATGGATGCCAGGGCATACTTCATAGCATCAGAAACTTCCCTACAGGTCCCTTGCATCTTCACACTGACCACAGCGACAGGTCTAGTGGCCAATTCAAAGGAAAGGACTTATGCCAAATTAGACTCCAGTACTGAGGGTTCCTTCCTTTCAGGGCCACTTCTAAGGGAGCCGTCCTGCAGGACTTCCTCCCCAGCATCTCTGCCGTACCTCATCTGGCTTCTTGTACCCAGTTAATTACATCCCTGGTTAGATTGCTTCAGTCTCTGATCTGACAGGGTCTCTGAGGAAGGCTGCTCTAACCTGTGTTCCCAATCAAGTAGATGAGAGATCACAGGCCTTCTAGAGGACAAAGGCACCTTGGAGATCACAGACAACCTCTTCTTCAACCCACAGCCTCATTCCACTGTCTTCTAGGAACATGAGTTTTCCAAATCTTAAATATGCCAATGGTCTATTATGGGAAGGACAGAGGAATTAAAATCCATAGTAGTTTTAAAAATCAAGGTTGAAATGGATTTTTCTTTATTTGGGGGGAGCTTACAGAGGGAATATAGTTTGACATGGTTAATCATTTAAAAATTTTTAAGACACATTAATAAAGTGGGGATAGAAAGAGGAGCCAGGGATATGTGAGATCACTCATGGGATTCCAGGCAGGATTTGTCACCTTTTACATGAAGATTATAATTCTGAATCCTGCTGCTTGTCTCTAAACATTGTCAACCTTGTGAATAGAGTATTAAGCTGGACATTTTGAACTTGAAAACATTGTTTTTGAAAGTTTAGTTCTCTATTCATCTAGTACCTTGATTTCTCTGTGCAATACAGTTTTTTTCTTTATTTTGATCCTTGAACCAGGAACAACCATAGGGTTAATATTTGTGGAGAAAATGTATTTGTTAAGTAATACGTGCTTCAAAGTCATAGTTGCTATAAAATAGGATATAATTATTAGCTTTTAATACTTTGGTTTTGCATAAAAAGAAACATCTAACAGCCGTGTGACATTTAACACACCAGGGATCCTGTCTCTGTTGTTCACCAGTTTCACTTTTTCTGCCTGATTCTCTTCATTTAGTTTGTATTGGTTATGGAGGAAAGGGGCTAGAGGCCATCAATTGTTATGGGTTAAATTGACAGCCAGTGGTCAGTGTTGAAGCTAGTATTACATGAACACAGGGCCACTGATGGGCAAGACATACATTCTTGGCCTTTTGAGTGAATGTAGGTTGGGGCTAGAGAGGGGGCACAGAGTTTTTATAAAATACAGCAGAGTAGAGAAAAGACTTTGTAAGCCATTCATGCAGAAATGAGTGAAAACAATGATCCCATATCACTTCAGTCAGAGCTATCGACTTAATTTATCTGAATATTTTATTTGTTTTATTTGACATTCTCTGCCCTCATTCATCATCTCCTCAATGTTCTTTCACCAAAATTATTTTCCAAAAGATGTTTCCAAGTTTAACTAAACTTACATAAATATGAAAGTTGAAGTTGTTCTGTAGGGACAAGGTGAAAAGTAAGTTCCAAGGGCCAGGGAGAGAATTATTGATGATTTGGGAGTATCTGGTTGCAATAGGGACTCATGAAAGACAGAAACATCTATGGAACAGGTATTGTTTGACCAGAGAGGTTTGAAAACCAGAGGAGGTTTTGAGAAACATTAGAAAATTAATAGGAAGACTTAGTGATTCATGGTGATTGAGACTAACATGAATGTGTTACTGTTACTCAGATAAATACTCATGTACTGTAGGAAATAAAATCTTTATAAGGCAGAGACTGCAATTGGTAGCAAAGAAAGAATCAAAAAATGAGGAGGGAAAAAAATAGGAATTATGAACAGTGTTAAGGCATATAAATTTAGAAGAGGTATATCCATTTTTTAAGTTGAAAAATAAATTATGTTTCAGGATTTCCCATTTGCTAGACCACATATAAGATTAAATTCTAAAGAATCTGAGATTCACTGTTTTTGTTTTGAAGGAGTTGAAAGGTTAGAAACTAGTTAATTTGCATAAATAAAATATTATCATGATAAAAGAGTGAGACATGTTTATTTTAGATATCTACAGACAGGTGAAATAAAAATCATATAAACTATGATTATAGATGAAATATCATGCCATGTGATTATACACAGTATGAACATGAAAAGACTTTACTATTCAGAAATGTATTTGATAATAAGCAATTTAAATTGATTGCAAATAGTATTTTTTTTAAATCTTAGTCTCCCAATAAAAATTATATATTAAAATACTTAGGTTTTTTTGTGTCTTGAATTTAGAAAATTAGATTTAAATTTACTTGCTCTTTGTAGATAGCTGTCAAATCTGAGAGAATGAATTTGTGTGAGAGAATTTATTTATGGCATTATTTAATTAACACCAATATTTAATAACAGATTCAAAGTAATTCTAACTCTGATTTTCTTATTTTACAGCTTGGCTCATCCTCTTCTGTGCCTTTTACATCTATTTTTTCTCAGCTTTTTATGACTGTTGTGGTTCCTCTCATTATCGGACAGGTAAGGTCTCCAACTCTATCTGATCTCTTCATAGATCTAATTGTGAAATCTTATATAAAGTTAGGGCAATTGAGAAAAAGGATATTCAGAGGGAAGAGACAATTAAATGAGAATATAAGACTGTGAAAACACAAGGTTTCATAAATCACAACATACTCATCTTTTTACTTTTTAAAATTAATATTAATATGCTTTGTGGTTAGCTATATATATTGGGACCCTTGCAGAGAATCTTGACTTTTAAAATTTATTCTCTCTTCTTTGTAGCTGTGTAGCTACCTTGAAAACATCTAGGAAATCATTAACTTATTCTGTAACTTCTGATAAGATCTCAGTGTTTGTGACCATTGTTGGGAACAAGCATCTGTCTTTTGTTGGCTTCTTTATAGACCCCTCCAACAACAGTTATATTTGTAATCATGTAATTGATGAAATAAACATTTAATCCATCTCTTAAAATTGGATCTTAGAGAATTTAGAGTTGCCTTTCTCATTCTTATTCAATTACAATAATAGAAGTTCTTCTATTTTAACTTATTACAATAAGTTAATAGTTTGCATATAATTAAATGATTAGCATACAAATTTTAAAACAAGAGTTTTTTGTTTTGTTTTCCTTAAAATCATAGGATGCCACAGTCATGGAATATAGAATTTAACATACAACTAAAATGAGTGAGTCTTGGGTATAACAGAACATAAGCAGTATGTTAGGATGGCTGAGAGCACAGACTTTAGTTTAAGAGAAACTAGAAAAGTGTTCTGCCTTTTATTAACTATGTGACTATAGGCAAGTTATTTAATCTTCATAACTCCAGGTTCATAATTTATTAAATAGTATGATAATGGTATCTACCTTAAAGAGTTGTTGAGTATTAAATGAAATATGCATGCACATAGAGCCTGACATTGGTAAGTGCTGTATAGCTTCTGTCAACATCATCATCATCACCATCACCATCACCATCAAATTCCCTACAAATACTGAACTGGAAACAACTCTTTGAAATATTGACTATAAAAATGATATATGTATAGACCTGTAATATTTACATGCAGTCTTAAGTCAGATTTTCTGAGCAATAGACTCTGAGACAAAGGTTCTATCACATTCTCTGACCACATATGCCCAATAAGTATGTGTTAAATGAGTGAGTGAAAGAATCAATGAGTGACAGAATTCTGTGATCAATAAGGGATATGCTTTGTCTTATAGAGGTATAACCAAATCTACCTGTTTTTCTCATCTCTACAGAGTTTCAGCTGTGGATAGCATTAGTTTAAATATATACTTGTTTTCTTGGTTCTGAAAATAATTTCTTATAACTTGGGCCTCATACATACTCCTCTTAGTAGATCTTGGAAATGTCCCTATTGACTTAACACATTTGGACAAAAAAAATCTCTGTCTAAATTATTCGATTTTTTATGTAGAGGGTTTTATAAATTATGTAATTAAAGAATATTAATACTTATTCAGACAGAATAATGATTTATTAGATTGCTTATCCTTTGTGTGCACAGTAGTATTCAGTAAATTATAAAGTAATAAAGGTAGTCAGAAAGTAGTATGGGCAGTTTTGTGGGGTTTTTTTAAGTATTCTAGATACCACAGTCTTTTAATGGCTTTTTCTATGAGGGAGCCTGTATGTTTGCATCTACCTGCCCTTCCTCTTGTATTCTGGTCATTCTGGTCTCATTAGCAGTCACGACCCCCAGTCTCCACATCTAGAAACCACCAGTCAGACTTGCCTCCTGCCTCTCCTTACATCCTTCCTCTCCTGCATCCAGGCAGTCACTGAATTGCCACCATTTCTGCCTCAGAAATATTTCACGTCTGGCACCTACGACCCCATTCATACTGCCAGAGAGATGACACCCCTCCATCATCTCTTGTCTAATTATTGCACCTCCTGACCCTGTCTTTCCACTGCGAGTCTCTTCCACTCCCCATCCAGTACCTTTACTGCCTCCATGGCAGTCCTAAAAACCAGACTGGATCAGTTATCCCTCTCTGTGGCTCCCTGTTGCCAATTCCTTGCACAGCCCCAAAGCCGCTCACTGCTTCTCCAGTGTCCCCTCCCAGGCTCCCTCCTCATGGGCTCCTCTTTTGCAGCCTTGTATACCGTACCCCTCACCTGGCCACGCCCCTCCCTCCGCTGCTCCATGCCTGCTGCTCTGCCAGCGAACTCTACTCATTCCTGAAGGCTCAATGCGAAGATCTCTGATGAGAAGCCTGCCCGCTCTGACTCCTCCAACAGAGACTAAATTCCACTTCTCCCATGGGACTTGATTCATAATATTTATCAGGAAAGATTATAATTTACCTGTGAGCTTCGTAAAAGCAGAGACTATACCTTCCTAACTTCCCTATCTTCTTGCTTGTAGTAGATACTCAATACATATTTGGTTACTGAATCTCTTATTCCACCCTAAGTCGTGGTCTCCATAGGTTGCTATTTATAGGTGTATTTAATAGCACACTCAACAGTAGGGTGTAAGCTGTATGAAAAGACTGACTGAAGAAGACTTTGAATTTACCCTCAGGGTGCCCCCAGCAGTCATTTTCCCTAGATCTCCATTTGTTCAGGGTAATATTTTTAGGTCTGTATAGAAAAGATAACACAATAACGAGGACTTTTTTCTTTCCTCCCCATTACCTGAAAAACAAATATATATATACATATATATATGTATATATACATATATTTTAAAGATATATTTATATATATATATATTAAAGATACTAATTCAAGGAAAAACAAATTATTCACCATTTTATGTGAAAGAATAGCCAGAGCTGTGCCATGTCTGGTCCACAGGAACGTGGACGCAAGGGCTGTAGCTGCACACGTGGGCAGACCCCACTGTACGAGCACTGCTGTGTGGATCTCAGGGACTCCAGAGATCCTGTCCTGCAGGACGAGCATTCCCGCAGGCAGGGGTTTCCAGGGCAGGCAGCGCTGCCTCAGCCACCTTTCCCTGTGATCATACCTTTCAGGGGCGTCTTCACCTACGGTTGCATAGATTGTGTAGTGCGCAAGGGTGCGATATTCCATAGTCCATCAGCAGCCTCACTCCCTGGCAAAACTCGCAGCTTCTTTTCTTCACTCTCTCTCTACTTTTCTCACTTCACAAAGGCCCAGTCATGCTTCTGCAGAGCAGCTCAACTTTGCTTTTCAGAGAGCAATACACATTAATCTCCTCTTGTTTTAAATCCATGACCCCAAATTTAAAATGTCATTTTACACTTCCCAGAAATCCTACTCTACCTCCTTATAGTGTTTCTTTTTCTACTTTTCAAATAGGATTGTTTCGCCTTATCCTCTATCTTCAAGTCTCTTGTATTACTACTTCCCCAACACTCTCCCTCTTGCCACTGCACTCGCGTCTCGCTGACTTCGCTGCTATTTCTCAAACATGCCAGTCTCACACCTGCCTTAGAGCCTTTGCACTGGCCGTTCCTTCTGCTTGGAACACCTTGCCACCTTTCCCCTCCTCAGAGAGACCTCTTCCCACCCCTACTCAGTAGCCATGCAGCCATGTCATACCATCCAGTTCAAACTTCTGCTCAATATGTATCATTATTTTGCTTCTTGTTTATTTGTTCGTTGTTTTGTTTTTTATTTATCTCTCAAACTAGAATGTAAGCCCCACGAGAGCAGGGACTCTGTCTGCCTAGTTTATCTCTGTATCTATATTTAATCTGTTGACTCACCTACACTGTGCAATGTGACTTTGAGGACCTTGTTAGAAGTGTTCATACGTTCATATGTTCGTATGCACTAGTTGAGAGAAAACAGAGGCCAGGCAAGGCAGGCTAGTTTCTAAATTGTGACTAGGAGTGCCAAATTATGAAAATAAATGTTTCTATAGATTGCTGCATGCAAAAAATTGAGATTTTATTATTGTCTATTTAACAAAGAATGGGAACTGGAGGAAGAAGAAAAAGACCAAGAAGTGTGAGCCAATAATTTCTTTAATATTTTAGTGGACAAAACTTTATCATTCTGTTTTTGGTTTATATTTCTGTGAGCCAATTTTACTTTTATGTGTTTTCCCCATATACTACTTAGTTTTGGTTGAAATCATTATGGACCGACTCTGATTTGCTGTGTGGTCTAGTTTTATCTTCATCACTGCTTGACTACACAGGTGACTTCTAGGCCTCACTTTCCTCATTTGCAGAACAAGGGGTTTTATATCTTCTAGCCCAAAGGTGCTGTGACTCTGTGAGATGAGATTAGTCTGTCTGCAGGTGGTTAGGAAATTCCTTCTTCTTTCAATTCTAGAAAGAAATAAAATTTGTGCCATTGTAGGATCTCCTCTCCTTTTCTGACAAACCCTTTCCAAATATCTAAGTGCTTGTGACAAACATTTATGCAGTACATTTAAAAGTGATTTACAAATAATAAAATAGAATTTCTACCACCTTTCATTATTTTCTATCACCTTGAATATTTTTCAAAGCAGCACACTAAAACTCACTTTTTTTCTTTATAAATTAATAACAAGAAAAGCATACCTATATATTATCATTCGTGCATTCTCTGGTCTTTCCATTAGTGATATGTTTCAATTTGAGATTGGCCTTTCATATTAAATAGTTTTCTGCTAAAGTCGAAGGAAGGGTTTTTAACAGTAGCAAAATTTTGCACCTCTAAAATTATTTCAGATATGAACAGTTTTTACTGTTTCCATTACTTCACCCGAATTGCTTTGAGGGGAGAATAACTGCGACATGCTGCAGTGGGATATGATAGTGACAGGAACATCATCAAGCCGGGACCCAGAAATGAGAGTAGTGATCATTACCAGGTACGGGTCCTGTCTCTAAAGCATTTTATATTTATTTAATGACTTAATCCTCAGTACAGCTGCTGTTATATCCATTTTACAGATGAGGCGCAGGAAAGCTAAGGAATTTGTCCAAGATCATGAAATTAAGGAGTTAAGAGCTGGAATTCAAAGTCAGACACACTGTGGCTTCAAAGTCTGTGCCCTGAACCTTTAGGCAATGGTTCCCTGTGACAGCAGGGGTTGTATTCCTGCTCATCCACCAGACTAGCTTCCTAACATTTGGTGCGAGTTGTCTAGGCTCTCTGTGCCCTCATTTTCCACTGTAAACTCAGCAGGGTGATATTTGTACAACTATTCTTATGAGAATGAAGTGAAGCAATAGTGGGAGTTTTCAAAAAGTGAAGTAGATAATAGGTGTTTATTGTACCCATTATTATTATTTATACTTTTTGTAAAGTGTATTAATATTATTTTGAATTTGCTCAGTATTTAGTAAAAATATTTTAAAGAAAAGTATTATCTAAGTTGGATTTAATTCCATATGTGACTATATATATATGTGACTTCAATAGGATATTAATGAAGAAACAAAACTCTTTTTGAAAATATATAGATTCAGTGCAATAGAGGATAAAAATTAAAGAAATAATCTGAAATCATCTTGAAGAAAAATAAGTTTTAAAATTCAGACTTAATATGAAAAATTATCCATCATATATCCTCACTCAAAAATCAATTTATAAATGCAAAGACAGGATAGAAAGAAAAAGCAAGGAAACACCTGGACAAAAAAAATTAAGAAAATTAAAATGATAGATATTGCACTTCACAGTTATCTCAGTATATCGACATTCTTCACCCTAGACATGTCATTTTTACAGGCTTCCAGCTTGGAAGTCCTGCAGTAATTGATACGTGGCTCAGCTTATTAGAAGTGCAGGAAATCAAATTTAAGTTTCCCTGTAACCTTTTCTGCTACTTAATTTAAAATAAATAAAACCAAAATGTTGAAGGTGGGACAATAAAATGAAAAGCTTCCTGGGGAAGATTTTTTTCCCTTCTCTCTTTACAGAGAAAAGCAGACGATTAACGAGGATTTGTCACTCAAGCTTGAATACTTAAGTTTCTCAGCTGTGAGGACAATGAATCAGTATAGATCTAAAGGAAGACAGAAGTGGCCACCTCACCAGAGTGCCTCTTCCCATCTCATCTCGATTTTTCTTTTTTCCCAAGAGAGAATTCGGAGGCGTCTCTATCAGGTTGTGTTGATCTATCTCTAGCAAAGTGTTGTTTCCCTAAGGTTATTACAGATTTCTGTAAGGCAAAGAAGTTTGGAGAATTTTAAAATGACATGAATTCTTGACAAATTGAAAATGATTGCATCCAAAGTGTAAGTGGCTGAACTGAGGGAAGATGAGGTTTCCTGGAGTTTATGTCCAAAGCACATCTTTGAGGCATGTCAACACTACTTCACCCAGTTTTGTTTATGAACCATTTTAACACTTTTCTGCCTGCACAGTGCAAAAGCAGCTGCTTTGTGAATTTAATTTTAGAGGAAGATGGAAAAGCTCTATGGAGCCAGGCAAGATATAAAATGGTTTACTTAGAAAACACTGACAGATATCATACTAAGACTAGAAACGGTGAAAGACAATCTGTTTTCCCCCAGGGTTATGGTTTCACTTACGGACCCATCTAATTTCCAAATTCTCAGTCGTTTTTTTTTACAGAGATTAGGTATCCAGCATTAACCTACTGGTGTGTTTAAAAGAAAGACATTTTGGCTAAAAGGACTCTGGACTTGGGAGTCCCTGTTTCTTGCCATATTGAGAGAGTCCTACTCTATTATGAGACCCTGAGTGCTTTGTAATCAGGAAATAGATTGTTAGGTTAATGAAATCAAATTACAGTTGGTCCTTCATATTCATGAGTTCTGCATCTGTGGATTCAACCCCAACCACCAGATAGAAAATGTTCAGGGAAAAAAAAATTAGCAATACAATAAAAATAACATAAAAATCTAATATAGTATAACTACTATTTACATATCATGTACATTTCACTGGGTATTATAAATGATCTTGAGATGATTTAAAGTATCCTGGAGGGTGTGCATAGGCTATATGCAAATACTACGTTATTTTACATCGGGGACTTGAGCGTCTGTGGATTTTGATATGTATGGGGCTCCTACAACCAATCCTCTGTGGATACCAAGGGACATCTCTATTGCTTATAAAGTTGATTAATTATTACAGATTTGTCTTGGTTTTTAAAATCACTTTGACTTTCAAGTTGCACCTCATTCAAATTTCTTTATTTTCTTGGAAGGGGCAATGGTGGTGGGACAGGAAGACACTTTTATTTTTGGAATTGGAATCATACATTCTACAGCCTGTTGCAGAGAAAGAACATTAGTGCTTTTACCTATTGAGTATTAAAACAAGACAGAGGGACAGCATCGATTTCAATAATTCCAGTAATTTCCATTTATTTTCTAAAGGAGTTGAATTGTATTAAATTTTGGGCAGCTACCAGTTTAACACTACCAAACACAATAAATTATAAAATGATCCTTTAAATGGCATCCATCTGTAGCTTTCTAATAACTAGCTACCTGCTCAGTGACATATCTGAACATGGAGCCATGTGGATAACCCATGATACGTCTAGGGCTGTTATATGAAGTTTGTGTTCTACTACTTCAGTCCATAATTCTGTGTGGCAGAACTGCTCTTATTTCCCTATACCTCACTGCACTTTAAAAAAAGAAATGAGCACTGGATAAATAACTAAGGTTTGGGATCACTTCTACTCCCTACCCCCAAAACCATAATATTTTATAAATCCATCTGTCATTTTAATTACAAGGTCTACTGTTTGAAAAAAAATCAACCACTATTTATCTGCATATGACACACTTTCCCCTTCCTTCCCACCCACCCAATCTTCAGGGTTTTGTACCTGCACCTTATACCAGCTGGTCAGCTTCCTGCCAGCACTCCCTTTATTCTCACTGCCATTTCACTGAGTGAGTCCCTGAAACAGCTGAAATTGATCCAATGGCCGGTTGCTCAAAGGTTCTGTGCAGAGTAGTTGATTTTGTTCTTGAGCATCTATAAAGATATGCTCCACTGTGAATTAAGCCTTTTTAGTGACAGAGTAGATGATGATAGAATCCCACCAGCCTTATCAGGAGAAGTTCCCTGACCTCATTATTGATAATGGATCCATGGTAAGTCAGCCTGTTGTGAAACCTCATGTTCAGTTATGCAGGATAATGAGTGACTCAAAACTTAACATGTCTCAGCTATCGTCCTTATGATAGGAATTGTACAGCTTCTTTCAAAAGTGAAATAAGATTTTAAGTAGAGTGGTTCACTTTTATGTCCAAACAAAAGTTATCACCAACATTCAGACTGACCTGATTTTAAATGTCTGATTTTAAAATATGACAGGATTGCTCTTTAACTTCACATTTCACTAATCCTTTTGTAGGAAAGTTAGGACAGGTTTATTCATTTTTAAGTGTTAATTCTGGAATTCTAAAAGTATGCAAATGGCATTTGTCTTTGGATTCACAAAAACTCTAGATATTCAGAGTCTGAATTATTTAAACTCCCACAACACATGCACTTTTGCTTTTCAAGCATGAGTTATAATTTAATTAAAAACTTCTGGTGCATTGCTAGCATTTTAAATATTAATATGTTCCATGGATCACTTTCGATTATCTACCGTCTTGAAATTCTTGAAGATGTCAGATTTTTAAGATTCCCAAAGTTGCACTTGGAATTGTCTGTTGAGGCAAAGGGGACTGTGATAATTACACACATCCATTAGGATCAGCAGAGGAGATAAACTTTGGGGAGGCTTAATGGGCATGTCTCAGTGACAGCTAGCAAAGAGCATTTGGCATGATTAAGGATGGATTTGAATGCAGTTGAAAATATACTCTCATTATGGACACCCAGTGGAAGTTGCACTACAAATGTTAAATTCCCCTGAAGAAGAGTGGTGTTTCAGGGAAGCTTTGAAATCCACTGTGGCCATCATCCAAATTATTCTCTTTTCTTTATGTCTTTCTGCTGTCAGAATCACTTTGTGATGCCCAATTCAACTCCCTACATCTCTGAAAAGAGGCAACCTGTTGATCTCTGTGTTTCAGATTGTCCGGAGATACATCAAGGATTGGCTTGAAAGAAAGAAGCCTCCCTTTGGTGCCGTCAGCAGCAGTGTGCTCCTCATGATCATCTACACAACGTTCTGTGACACCTTCTCTAACCCAAACATTGACCTGGACAAGTTCAGCCTTGTTCTCATACTGTTCATAAGTAAGTTGGAAATGGGCTACCCTGGCCATCCATCAGTTTCCTCAATAGCAAAGTATAGCAAGTTGTGCTCTCCAAATTCATTTCTAATGTTAATATGACTATTAATGAATACTTAGTTTCATATTTTGTTTATCATGTGTATTTATTCTATAAAACAACATCAGGTATACACTTATGATCTTAACCTCCTTTGTTTTCTGGGTCTGATGCACTATTTTCTGATTTATAATAGTTGATGCCAGATGAGAGAAGCCTTAATATCTGTGAAATTCAAATGTTAGATTGAGCACTTTGTCATCAATTTAGTTTATTATAACTTTAAATTGATCTCACCCTTTATTGTGATTTAAAAACAAAATTTATAGTATATGATGCTACTATTTTATAAGCATAATAATTTGCCTGCACTAGTTAAATTGTGAATGTTTACATCATATTTCTAATAAAATATACCCAAAGTAATATCATCTCATTTTGAGAAAGAAGCAGACTATCAACTGCGGGTAACTACTAAGGCTCAAAAATCAACCTTTTGTTCTATTTATCTGTAATACTAAAAGACAACCTTTATTAATATTGTAATATCAAAGAATCTTTTGTTATTAAAATCAAGATGAGTTATTTCAAAGTATATATCATATGCCCCTGAATTTGTGCTATTTGCTATAAATACTCATAGTATAAACCAGCTTTTTCTAAATTGACCAAGTTAAATAACTGTATCATATGAAAAAAGGTTTTAGATTTTCCTGAGTAGTAGGTATCAAAGACAGTGTTTGGGGATATTATCAATAAGAACAGGTTGAGTCCCACTAATTTAAATGATTCTATCAGTTTAGCAATGTATGTTTGTTTCGTTTATTCATTTGTTTTTCTTTTTGAGTTCCCGTAAGTTTCAGATAAAACTAAACATGCCAGTAAATATGTTACAGATAATGCTTTACAAGGGCTAATTTAGATTCAATCTTTTTTTCTTCAGTATTTTCTATTCAGCTGAGTTTTATGCTTTTAACCTTCATCTTTTCAACAAGGTAAGTGATTTGGTATCTCTTGTTGTTAGTTTCTGAAATGAGGAATCATGCTCTTTACTTGGCTACTATGCTACTATACTGTTCTATTTTTTCTCCTGTCTTCCTGACCATTCTGTCTCCCTCCTGCCACCTTCAAACTATAGACATCACAAAGGATCTGTCCTTGGCCCTTGCCTTACCTGTCTACATCATGTGCTTGGGCAGCCCCATCCATTCCACTGGCTTGAGCTGCTAACATCATACTGATGATTTTTGAGTCTAGACCTTCTATTCCAATGTTTCATCTGAGTTCCAGCCTTATTTGTCACTTATCACTTAAATATCTTCACCTGACTGTCATAACAAGACCTCAGACTCAAGATACTCAAAAGGGATTGATCTTTCCCCCCAAACTTCCTCTTTCCCTCTTATTTCTTGACTTATATGAAATAGAACCACCATCCTCAGAGTTACTCCAACGGGAATCCTTCACTTCATTATTTTTTAAAATTTTTTGATCCTACCTCTATATTTTTTCTGCTCCCAAAGCCACTTCCCTAATTCAAGCTCTTGTTGCTTATTTTCTCCCTAGACTATTATAGTGAGTATCTTACTGGTAACTCCATTTCTAGGCCCAACTTATCTTAGCGATTTCATCCTGCTTTCCATGACTAAAAGTTCAGATAATGACTCTCTTGTGCAGATATCTTCAGTGGTTATTTGGTGCCTGCAGAATGAAGTTTATTTTAGAGGGCAAGGCCCTCCACTCTATTTTCCAACTCATGAACTACTACTAATATTCATACTAGTAGCTTTAGACTGAGGTAGAATCTTTGCTGTTCATGGAAGAATCTCATGCTTTCTCATTTCTGCCCTTTGCTTAGGCTATCCCCATGTCCAAATTGGTCTCCATGTCTTAGTTCATCTTTCTTGTTCTCAAAGGATTACCTCCAATGTAAATTCTTCCACCTATATGATATATTCAAAAAGCGTTACTTAAGCATTTTTCACACTAAACTTTCCTCACACTATTTACCATAGTGAATGCCATGAATAAGAGATGATTCTGATACTGCAGGAGTTTATAGACTAGGTATATTCACTGATAACTAAGTGTGCTCTGAGTGATACAGTAAGGCAACCTGTAGTCAATTCAAAGAAGAAGAAAGCACTTTCCAAAGAGAGTGGTACAGCAAGGCTTCATAGAAGAGATGGGGTTTGACATGAATCACAAAGAATAGCTAATTGTTCAGCAATCAGAGATGCCAAGAATGGGTTCTTGCTGGGACAAGAATCAGTAATGCAAATGTAGACGTACACATGAAAAAAACAAGACATGGTGGGACAGTCGGGGTAGAGGAAGATTGAAAATAATAATAATAAGTGGAAAGGTAGGCTTGGGCCAGATTGCAAGGCCCTTGAACACCAGGGGATAGCAATGAGTGGCCACAAGGGAAAGGGCCCAGGCTGTTTATGGCTTGAAGTCAGAGCGGTCGACAGTTTAGACTTCACATTAGGCACTTGGCTTTACTGTACGTGGTATATAGCACTAGGTTGATTGTAAACAGTCAGTATAAACTTATTGATTGATGTAATTTGAAGCATTTTCCAAGCTTGAGATTGTGATTTATGAAGTAAGAGTAAAGCCTGGAGCCATTAAGTCACAGAGAAAATGTGACTTAATTGGGCAAGTCTGAGAGTAGGAGCTATTTTAAAGTTCTTTTTGTAAATGGCTTGTTATGTCACCTTAGGAAAGATGTTTACCTTTCAGTGGCTGTTTGTTTGCCGGTCCTTGTGGCAAAAGTAATAATCAGACCCCCTCGTCCGATCAGATTAGGTAGGATGTGATATGCTGTTAGTGGCTGAAACATCTCCTGAACAGAGCACAGAGCAGCCACCGCTGGGACTGCTGCAGGGGACATGGGGGCTGGGGAGCAGGGCTGTCACAGCTAGTCGGACTGAAGTGAAGAATTTTCAGCATGGCATAGACTGGACTTTCATAAGGACCTGTGGTTTTTGAGATCCTTTTCTTTTCTGCTTTATTCTGCCTTCACTAAAGTTCTGTTGCATGTTGAACTTCCTCAACCCCTTGTCAGACACACACATTCTGTGATAAACAGCAGCATATGGAACTGCTGCAATCATGCTCCAGGTCAGAGGCTGGGAAGCCCCAAAATATTCCATTAAAATTGGGGAATTTTCCAAATGAGCAAAATTTATAAGATAGTTTTCATATTCTGTTTTCATGTTGAGAGACCTCATAGCTCTTGAGGATTTTATTGGAGGAGTGAGAGATGCCAATTTATTGAACCCTGTTCCACGCTAAGCACTGTCATAGGAATTGTGTGTATGTTATTTCATGTAACCATCAGAGACTATGATACTTTGCATTTTTACTGCTATTTTGCAGATGAGGACCCATGCTTAGAGTAGTTTGGTTTATTAATTTGCCTAAAGTCAGATTTTAGTACTTTGGTAACTTAACCAAAATCAAATGGCAGGTAGTACACCTAGAATTGAAATCCATTTCCATTTGACTTTTCCAATAGCATTTGCACATGCCTTTTCCTCCATACTAAACTATTTTAACTACTTTTTTTTTTTTTTGAGACAGCATCTTGCTCTGTCATGTGGGCTAGAGTGAGTGGCATCATCATAGCTCACTGTAACCTCAAACAAACTCCTGGGCTCAAGCGATCCTCCTGCCTTAGCCTCCTGAGTATGTGGGACTATAGATGCACATCACCATACCTGGCCAATTTTTCTATTATTTTGTAGAGACAGGGTCTTGCTCTTGCTCTCACTTAGGCTGGTCTTGAACTCCTGGCCTTAAGTGATCCTGCCACTTTGGCCTCCCAAAGTGCTATAAAAGTGCTTTGCATTTTACTGCTATTTTGCAGATGTGTGAGCCGCCTGGCCTCAATTACTTTTAAAATTCATAATACTTGTTTTGGTCAGAGAATTTATAAAGAGTATTTGACTAAATTCTTCAAGTTTACCTACAAATAAACAAATTAGCCAAAGATACCAAGAGTTTGAACTAGGACCCATTGGTTTATACTCTATTGAATATTATTTTCTTTGCCTACTTTTTCTTCCTACTTAAAATTTGTGAAATTGTCCTGTGTGTGTACGCATATATGTGCCTTTTTTTTTTAGTTTTTTTCTTACCAATTCCATAAATCTAAAACCAATTTAGATATCAAAGACAAAAATTTCAGCATGGAAATTGGTCTATCTTTTTTGTGTCTGTGTGCAGCATGATGAAAGTTTAGCATACAGCCCAGAGAGACCCAGCCCAGAAAATTTAAGTTTCCTACAACACTCTGCTTAACTGGTTAGCATTTCTTAGATTTACTTACCTAACATGTTACCATCCGAGTAAGCATTTAAACTATATTTGAGAGTGATTATTCTATGTCCTCATTTATCTGTCTATACAATGGGGTCAGGGTTAAAAATTCCAACTCTGGAGTCAGACAGACTTGGGTTTCAGTCCTATTTAAGAACTTTATAACTTTTGTCAATTGTCTTATGTACCAAATGATAGTAGTAGTAGTACCTATCTCATGGGCTCATTTAGAGAATTAAATAATATGCACTTACCCCTCAGCATAACACCTAGCATATAGAAAGTGTTCAGTAAACTTTAGCTACTGTAGATTATTAATTATATCAAATTAGTTTATATAATATGAAAAACTAATGATAGAAGAAGGGTAATTAGCTTCACTAGCTTTGCGATACATTATTTTTTACTTTTCTATGTCACAGTTGCTAAGAAATGAGAGTTGATTCATCAAGCCAAGAGTCAGCTCTCTACAGTTACCTAAGGTTTCTGCAACTTAGGGAAACTGTCAAAGGTTTTTAAAAAGTTGAAAAAGAAAAACAGCTGTAACTGGGAGTCTTCAAAATGTATAAAAATATATAAAAGACAGCTTGGTAGGCTGTTAACTAGAGTAACAGAAATCTAAATTGTGACTAGAGTGATAAAAGAAACCATTAAGAATGAAAATGGAAGAGAACAAAGATTCACATATATTGTATAGGTGTTTAAATTCTTATCAGTACATTTTCAGTCAGATGTCTCAGTAGTTCCCTCACCACAGCTCTGGGAGAAGGAGGGTGGCTGACGAGTGGAAGAGGAGAAGGGAGGCAGATAGTCGTTGTCATGATGGTAAGTCTCCCTACCATTGCAGAAGTGAGTCAGCTAAGCCATGGAGCGCTAGGTAACTTGTTTAGTGTCACACAGCTAATGACAGAAGAGTTCTTCTCTAAAATTGGGCAAAGACAAAACACAAGTACAGAGGTTAACAAAGAAAAGTATTTCACGTGTAAGTTTTCTCCTCTAAACACAGGAGGCTTAGACAGAACTATCTCAGAGGACCTTTTCTGCTCCACATTCTGTGATTCCACTAGTAAAACCTGACATGTTTTCCTTTGTGGGTACTGCAAAGGAAGGCAAAGTAAATATTATGTGGAAAAACACTGACTGAAAGCTTTGTAAGAGAGAATAAAAAGACCAGTTGGGAAGAAAAGGAGATAAACATCTCAAAGGAAGGCCAAGTGATCAAAAGAATCATTCAAAACAGGATAAAAAGAAGATCAATATTAAAAAGAGATAAGGTAGAGTTAGAAAATAAATAGTAATGTGATTCCTTTCAAGAATGTGAGCAGACACAATAGAGATATTAATGAAAACAATGATAGTCACTGCTACTTGAATATAATGTACAGGACACTTCATTTTTCTGTGTGTTATCAGGCTCTTGTGCCATGAAGCCTCCCATGACAGCGTGTTACTCACCAACATAACTGCTCTCACTCATTAAATTTTGTAGTATTTTTTTATATTTTTTTACATTCTCTTTCTCAGAAGGCAAACTTTTATCTAAGATTTGGAGCAGCCAACTTACTAGTTGTGTGGCTTTGGGGAAGTTGTTTAATTTCTTTGTGCTCAAGTTCCCTTTGTGGAAAAAGCAGGGCAATAGTACCATCTCCTTTATAAGGCCGTTCTGGGAAGGAAGTAATATTGGATGCAAAGAGCTCTGAAAAGTGCTCAATAATATTTACTACTGTGGTAATTCCTCATCATCAAGAACGGAGGGTTAAGTGAGCATCTGCTCTGTTCACTTTCCCTGAGCTCTGTGAGGTGGAACATTCTGGTACTATGTAGCTAAAGGACAAGTCCACCCTCTTGAGGAGGAATATTGTTATTAACTTTAAATATTCCATCTTTATGCCTCAAGGTTCTAATCCTCCCTTCCCTCTGATGGACTTTGTGTCAGTAGGGCTGTGAAGCAGTGTTCCAGCTCAAACAAGCCAGAAAGCTCCCAACATGGGCCTAGCTTTAGTGTCCTCACCTGAATCAGAGGATGAGCGAGCATATCTAGCAAATATCCTCTGTAGGCACCTTGTAAACGCTGCTCTGATGATGGCAGCTGGTGCCAGATCACATCAGCGCCTCCCTGACCAGAGAGACTCAGACACAATGGAAAAGTGCTACAACCTGGGAAAGAACAAGATATCAAGCAGAACAAAGGTCACTAAAGGAGAAGTGTATTACCAGACTCTCTAGGAAGAAAACCAAACTGTATAAACCCAGATGCAGCCAATCATTGGTTATAAACTAGGGCAAACAAAAGACTAGAAAGGTCTTTGCATTGTTACTATCACTGTAAGCATTGCTGGAGAACATCCCCAAACTAAGCCAGCTGGTTACACTACATGTTCTACCATCCCAGGCGGGCAGTCACTCCTGCACGGAAGTGTTTTACTCATTGTGAATCGATGTACATCATATTCTTCAATCTACCTATTTCAAGCTTTCCCAATTTCTTTGGTTCCAGGGCCTCAGAATTACTTCCAACTATGTGTAGATGAGTGGCATGCCTCACACTTTTCAAAGAAGTAAAGTCTCTGACATAAGTTGCCTTTGCTTTCCCATTCTCTACCTGAATAGTTTCCATATGTTTTACTCACCTTGTCTACTTTTGCTTCCAGCTTGGAGATGGTAGGAAACGCCCTTCTCCAGCTAATTCTTTCAGTCTTGTCCTCTCAAGCCTCTTTGGGAACCTGGGCTCATCAGTTCTTTCTGTCTGCTGCATCTCCACTCTTTCCCTATAATCATGTTCAAACAGCCCATGTCCCTTTTCTTCTCTTCACCAGATTTCTTAAAAAACAGTCCTTCTCGCTACTGCAAATCCAGTACATTTCAACATCAGCCTCTCGGCCTCCTGCCCAAGCCCCTTCAGGCCTTCTCTTCCATTTTCTGGTCCATTAATGCCTCAGTGCTCCTATCAGTCCTATATGCTCAAAGTTTATAACTCCTCCTCCTCTCTCAAAGCAACAATAATAATAATAATATCAACTAGCATGTATTAATCACTTACACTGTGCCAATTTCTTAATAAGCTTTGGCATTTATCCTCACAGTGTCACTAAGAGGCAGGCAGGATCATCCTCATTTTATATATAATCAAAAGGATGGTCTGGATTTAAAATCAGGTGTGTTTATGCCCAAAGCCTGTGCTTTTAAGCTGCACAGAGGTTAACAGTTGACAAGTTCATTCGTCTCCTTGTCTCTAGTCACCGTCTCTGATCCTCACTCTGACTCTTCAGGCCTTTGCAGCTCACTGCTTTCTGCCTAAACTCACCATCTTCAGTCTTATACTGTGCTGTGTGATTACTACTCCTTACAAACGGGTCTGATCATGTCATTCTACGGTCCCCAACCCTTCAGCAGTTCCCCTCATCCCATCTTATCAAATCCACACTCTTGGGCATAAGCCCACATCCCTGTGCATACGTCAGCCTGAAGGTCTGCTCTTTGCCCACGCTCATACCGCAGTCTCACCATCTCGTACCTAACACACACATCTGCACATGTCGAAACCTGTTCTTTAGGCCCAGCTCAACTGTTATTTCCTCCTAGAAGGTTCTCTTCTGCTCCATCATCACCTCCTGCTCCCTCCCCCACCAAGCTAGAGATAATCCTATGCTTTCAGTGGCAAATCACTGAATCTCCTGTCTCCCTCCTCTCTCATATATATCTGTACTCCTTTCATCTCTCAGCCCTTGTGTTCACAGCCCCTTACAGAGATCTTTTCCCATGTAAGGAATAAAGGGATGAAGAAATATCTCAGCCATGTTGTGCAATGGTTAAAACACAGAGTGGTATCACAATGTGAATATGAGAATGAAATGTGGAAACAGTGAGGCAGTCTTATTATACTCAAATGATACACATCTGGGGAGAATCGTCCACTGAGGGGAGACCCCAAAAATTCAGTTTGGAAAGTTGTTATCAAGAAAGAGCTGGAAATATGACAAGTTAGGAGGCAAGAACATACAGGCCTTTCAAAGAAGAGGAGACCAAAGGGCCATTTAAATATTCTCTTGACACAGGCACAGGGGATGAGGAGGAGAAGGCTCTTCTCCCTCCAGGGAGTATATAACAAAGAAAACAGGATGTGGGATCGATCTATTTAGGGAAGATTTGTCTCTGGCAAAAGTTATGCATGGAGATGAGGTTACTAAGGGAAATTGCGGGATCTCTTTCATTAGAGATCCTTTAAAATTGGGCGGATTGTTCTGTCTGCAATGGTATACATGCAGTTTCTGGAGCATTTCCATTTGCTGACTAAATCTTTTGTCAGAGTTCAGGGCAGGTAATGAATGGACTCACTGTACTGTCAAACCCTGATTCCTGCAGGAAGAAATAGTTTCCAAAATATAAGGGCACAATAGCAATAGTTACATTTCTAACCTTTTTGGCTCATGGTTCTCTAAATCTTTCTTAGGTAAAATAGAAAATCTGATTATGATATCCACACCCAGTAATACTGACCCCCCCCAAAACATGTAATCAGCTAGATATTTTTTTATGCTTAACACAGTATATGACAATAGTGGAACACAGTAGTTAAAAGCACAGGCCTAGGAGCCGGACTATTTGAATCTTGGCTCTGTCACTTAGCAATGAGCCCTGAGTAAATGACACACTTCTGTGTGCCTCAGTTTTCTCATCCATAAATAGGGACGGTGTATCCCTTACCTTGTGGAGTTGTCTTTACATATAAAGATGCAAGAGAAGTAAGTGCCTGATACATAGAGACTGCTCAAAAAATGATAATTTCCTGTTTTTACCAAAATATATGATATTAAATCTGTTCATACCAGGTATTTCTCAAAAATGTGTGTTTGCTGCCAAAAGCAAATAAGCATTTTTGAAATAAGCATCTTCGGAGATGTGTTGATTCTTTCAAGCCTCTGAATAGTATTAAGTGATAACCTAAAAATCAAGCTAAAAGGGTTCCTTACTGCATTATTTTCGTAAATTCCTACACGACAGGCTGATGTGGCATATGTGATCTTAGGAGACCTTCACTGCACGTTTTTAAAACTGTTCTCCTTTTCATGGATAAATGACTGAGAAGTGATTCTCTAAAAAGAAATTCAGACACTTCTGTACATTTGGGTGTAGAATTACTTCTGTCACCAGGACTGATCAAAGAGATGTTAACATGCAGGTAGGTACTACATTTGATTTGGGATATGTTAAATAGGCTTTTTATAAAAGTGTTTATAAAAAAACCTTTTTTTTGCCCCTAGGAATAATTCGGGTTTCACACCAGCAGACACAGTGGCTATCATTTTCTGTTCTACACACAAATCCCTCACGTTGGGTAAGTGATTCACAGAGCTAAAAGCCATACATTATCCTCTTGTAATTACATCTGATGATTTTGAAATTCAAGGAACTCTTCAAATTAAATGGAATGATGTATTGTCCACTCTGTTAGATAAAGAACAATAGCAAAGTGAGAATGGGTCATTGCTTTCAAACGCTGTTATTTGATTGAACCAATCTCCAAATCTAAATTTAACAGCATAGAATTTACCATAATTTGTAATCATGTTTTCAATTCTCATGAAAGATTATCAATGTAGAATGTTAACATTAACATTAGAGGCTGGGTAGGGGTAGAGGTGGGAGAGGATACTGTTTCTGAAAAAGGAATTGGCAGAAACTTTGCTTTGGAAGGTTCTAGAGTTGTCCCTGGAAAATGTTAATTTCCTTCCTCAGAGCTCAATGCAAGGTACAAATAATATTTGCACCCTAATTTGATATTGACATTAGTTTGAAGTTCATTTCCAAATGTTATGTTATTTCTATAAAGAAACAATATAGTTATCATTAACTCAAGAGGATTAGCACTAAAAGTGAAATAAGTATTTATTTAATGGATAAAAATGGAGTAAGGAGAAAAGTGCTATTTTCTACTTAGTTTTATCCAATTTAGTGGCATTGTCCCAAGAACCTATTAGATATCCAGAATCTATGATTTTAGTCATTAAAAGTCATTAAGTAATTAGAAGCTTTATTGAAATATACATCATTCACAAACTGCTTGAGGTGGTGGGCATGTTATGGCACAACCTTAATATAAAAATTTCTCCACATTTTGGCATGAAACTGACTTAATAGAGTGGAGAATTTTGACATTGCTGTAAGTCTGCTCATGTTAACGTAATTCACTCTGTAAACTAGAAACGAAGACATTTCATGTTTTTACAAATCCCAAACACAATGTCTGACAGAGTCTACTATCTCAGTCTTACCGAGTTTGGAAAATGATTTAGAAATTGGACAAACTCTTAAGGAGCTGTTGTCATCTAGGGCTTCAGCTTATTTGAAAAAATTATGTATCTACAATCCATGCAAGGCACTATTTTTGGTTTTCTTCATAATCATCATCAAATTGAAGTTGAAACAGCCTTGGAAGCCATATTCCAGTCCTGATTTTGTGACCCTGGACAAATCAGTTAACCTCCCTGAACCTTAGCTTTTTTATCTGTAAAATGAGCAGAAAAACACTCGCTTTGTAAAGGCATTTGTTAAGTACCTAGCACAGCACTTGGGAGATCATAGGTAGTCAGTACATGACAAAATATGTTCAGTAATTGTCCCATGAATAGATTACTGTGGACTAAATGGGATAGCACCTCTAAGAGCTTGCTGTGCCACCCTGCACATAGTGGGTGCTCTATGAGCAGCAGCTATGATTATTCACTATTAACCACTTCGCTACAGCGCTCACCGGCGCGAAACCTTGCCGGCAGCCAGCACTCACAGTCTGCACGATAGTCAGTGCTGTGCATTGACGACGAATCCGTTTTGCTCTTGTGTGATGAGGAAAGCTTGAAAGCACTGAAAACTTGTTTTACTTTACAGGCAGCTTTACTTGTAACGTAAATCAGAATAGGTAACATATACATATATGTTTTCATTATGTTATTTTTAAATGTTCACAATTTTATTTTGATAAATGAAAAATTAGAAAAGTCATATCACAGCTGTTGGCTACAGTCACTATGCACGTTCATCTGTGGCTGTCGACTATAGTCGACGCTGGTACCGAAGTGGTTAATAACTATATTAGTTACAACTGTTGCCACTTCCAGCGTTCCAGTCCCCTGACCCCTGTCTTGTAGGTTTTCCTGTAACGAGTGAGGTTTAGTGGTTGACCTCAAAGAAGTCCTCATACACATCTTTCCTATGTGTTTTATTGTGGTGTGATATCTGGTGTTCTAGGTCTTCTAAAAACTAAGGGACTTTTATAAAGTTAGGAAATCCAGAGGAGGGTGCTGCTGGACTCCTCAGACGTAGAGTGTAGGGGTCCAATGAGCCCATGTCCTCGTGTCCATGCCGAACCACGGCTGCAACAAATTCTTTTCTCCATTTCTGCATTGGGCTTTTAAGCCTGACCCACTCCCAGGGATTTGCTTTTATCTAAAAAACCAAAATGGATTTTCTTTGTTTCTCCACTGAGTTTTTCTGTGTGAGAGCTAGCTGTGTTGAACAAAGAGCAAGAAGCATACCCAAGAAGCATACTGCAATGTGATCAGTATTCTTTTCTTTTCTATTAGAAAAATACCTCCCTATTCAATCATTTTTTTTTTATTTTGTCTCTTCATTTTTCTTAATCCCAAAGCCATACCCGTCTGTTTTTTATACTTTCTGAAAGCTAATTTTCAGGCAAGCAGATAGGTACTCTGAAGTAGTAGTTTTGCTGAAAAGGATTGGGTTAACTTGGATTTTTGTTTGCTTCTGCAGTGTTCACCCATGAAATAGATACTTAGATCCTCTAATAGGATACTGTACTAGTGTGGTATCTAAGTAACCAAGTAGTATCAATCCTTAGTTACTGTCATAACATGACACACCTAAGTTCTCTTGGAATTATAAGATCTAAATACTCAACCTGGCTCTTACACTGATGCTTTCCCAGGCCTCAGTTTCCTTGGCTCCCAGATTAGGTAATTGTACTTCCAACTCAAATATTCTATTGTACCTTATCCTACCTGGCTTCCTTCTTGTGGTCTCCTAGGTAGCCTTTATAAAAATGGCCTCTTTGCTGTTACCCTTATCTCAGGGAGATCATCCTCATTTCCATATATAGCAAGGGATGTTTGGATGCTGTTGCTAGAATGGCCTTGTTTAAGCCCTGTAAATTTACAGTATCCATTTTCACAAGATCCAATATGTTTCCCTCTACTGGTGACCTGACCTCACTGGTACAGAGGATATGCCATGACAGTGACCTAAGCTACAGGCTGATAATGATCCTAATAGAAATTCTTATCTGCATCAAAATGAAAGAACATCACACAGAGTGTGAAGAATTCATAGTCCAGAAAGCAAGGAGAAATTTCAGGTAATATCACTCACAGTTATATTTTCTCTCACCTCTCACCCAAAGATGAAATATAACAAATCATAATATACTATTTGGCACTTTAAAAATGTATCTTTCCCATTGCAGTCATACCATAATATTTCTTCTAAGGATTTTACATATATATAACATCTTAAGTAGAATATATTAAGTGAAACTTATAAAATGCCACTCATTATTGCATCCAGTATTTGCATTTAAGAATAAATGATTGCAGTCCATGTAACTAATGAAGCACAAATACAAACTCTTGCTTCATAAGCTTTCTGAATATTCTCTTGCATATACAACTTCAATTTATTTTATTGTTCCTGCTTTCGCCCTGTCTCAATCTCTTCCATGTACTTGCATCTACACACATGCTGAATTTGATTCATTGCTTTTATTAGTGCATTTGCCATTGATTGATTAGTTCTTCGTATTAGTACTTTTTCTATTGATTGATTGCAGATGAAGTGACTATTTGACCTTTAATTATGAGGCTTCCTATTGAAAATGACATTGAGCTATGGCTTCACATAATCCATCTGGAAAGCCTGACATGATGCCATTCCCTGGAGTTCGTTCAGGAAGAAAGAGGAGGCCTGAAGGAAGTGCAGAGCTATCACTGTGCTTCATCTAAAACAATACTACAGGGCTTGTTTGCTGCTCTCCTATAGTTTAAGCCCAGGGTTGGGGTAATTTTATATTTTGTCAAGACAGCGTCACTTGCTGTGGGTTGCCGTAAAAGCCATGAACTCTCCCAAATTATTCTCTAGTTTGATGGTGATTTTTGTGTAATAATGAGAAGATATTTCACGTAGCGGAAACTGAAGAACAGCTTGTACCCTGGTAAATAATGGCTCGGTGCACAGTCAGTCAATAGATCTCATCAAGAAAGAAATTAGATCCAAGATATCCTGTGGAATTGGTGTTTTATTTATCTTTTTCTCTTGAGTATTCAAATCATTTTACTTATCTAGAGTTCCAATATATGTAGAAAACTTTCTCACTATACCTAGCAAGTGAATATTTTAGGATGTTTGAGGTCCTTAAGCATATGTTTATATTAGGTTTTAATGTTTTTAAATAGCAAAATGAAAGCACATAGTCTCAGAGCATGTCAAATGACTATTGGCAGTCAATGGTGAGACTCCTAATTTTTTCTTATCTCCAAAAGCATTTCTGAATTGAATGAGTGCTATTTAAATTTTAAAGAATGTCATGATCAATGCTTATTAAAAGTCTACTATGTAGCCTGCCTTTTATAGACACTTATATACAAGGCAACCATTCCTCACATTGTTTATATGCACTTCATTATGGGTCTAGTCACAGCTACACAGCTGAACTATAACAAGAAACTATTCATTAAGCTAAAAGAATATAGCTTTTTGGTAGACACAGGATTCTGGCAAGAGCAGAAAGCACATACCTGATTCTAGTCTGGATTCAAGTTCCAGTTCTCTCACCAAAAGCTGGAACAAATTGTTTAATGGCCATAGGCCTCATTTCCTCATTTGTACAATGAGAAGATAGACAAAATTATACCTGAGATTCCTTCCAGTTTTAAGTTTCTATGAGTCTGTGACTGGTATTTCCACTCTATGAAATAATAACACTTTCTCTATTATATGCGCAAAGGAGTATGTAACTACTTCTTGAAAGGAGTAGTTATATAAATAATGTTACAGTATTACAAGAAAGGAAACATAGCTGTTGCTTCTTCAGAGAAGAAGAGATTAAAAAATATATTCACACTCTCCAAAAACTGTCATAGGAGAAACAAAGTCTTAAAAAGATCTTGTTTTTCATTTTAATTGGAAGCTTTTCCAAGAATGTTAAAGGATTATGTACAACTTGGGCTAAAAATATCATTTAATAACCTATGAGTCATTTTGTTAAGAGGAAATAGGGTTGAAATACAGAAGTTTGCATTTCTGGTATTCTTTCCATACAAAGCATAT